GTTTACAAGTCAAAGTTAATTTTGCAATAAACCATCTTATGAATTGCACTTTACCCAGAAAGCCTCACACCTCCTTTTCAGTCGTCGGTGCTGGCATTTCTAAGATGGCCTTGATTTTAGAAGGATCGACCTCGATACCCCTTTGTGTGATCAAGAACCCCAGCATTTTCCCTGCTGTAACACCAAATGTACATTTCTGAGGATTCAGCCGCAACCGATACTCTCTGATCCTTTGGAAGAATTTCTGCAAGGCGGTGTAGTGGCCCTCTCTTTCCTTGGACTTGACAATCATGTCATCCACGTACACCTCAACCTCTTTAAGGATCATATCGTGCAAGATTGTGGTCGCAGCCCGTTGATACATAGCTCCAGCATTCTTCAGCCCAAACGGCATCACTCTATAACAATAGGTTCCCCACGCGGTAGTGAAAGCAGTCTTCTCTCTATCTTCGGGTGCCATCAAAATATGATTGTAGCCTGAAAATCCATCCATGAATGAGAGCAGTGCATGCCTTGCAGTGAAGTCCACTAACTCGTCGATATGCGGCAGAGGAAAGTCATCCTTCGAATTGGCTTTGTTCAAATCCCTGAAGTCCACACATACCCGAATTCTGTCGTCCTTCTTCGGCACCAGAACTATATTGGCCAACCAAGTAGGGTATTCAGATACCAACAGGAACCCTGCGTCAATCTGCTTGGTGACCTCTTCTTTGATCTTCAGAGCCCAGTCCGGGCGGATCCTTCGGAGCTTCTGCTTAATAGGTCGAGCCTCTGGGTTAAGAGGGATCCGGTGCTGTACAATCTCAGGATCGATTCCAGGCATGTCTTCGTAAGACCACGCAAAAACATCTTTGAAATCTTTTAATAAAGCGGCTAAGCGCTCGCGCTCCTCCGAAGACAACGTGGACCCGATCTGGACCAGCCGTGGGTCCTTCTCAGTACCAACATTAATTGTGGTGATTTAATCAACCAAAGGTTTTACAAACCTCTCCTACTCTTGATAAAGCAAATATTTCAAAACCAGAGGAATTTCTTCCTCGTCATTTTCATCAAAATTTTGAAAGTCTTGATTAATGCAATAAATTAAAGGCACATAAAAGTACTCGGAAGCCACAGCCGTACCATTCTCATTAATAACATCCAGTCCGCCTGATTCCTCTGTTATAACAGACTCAAAAGAAAAAGAAAAAGACGACCAGGACAGGACAGTGGCATCCGGGTTATCACCCCCAAGAATACCGGACTCAAACTCAGAAGAGCTGGAATCTGATTCCGACTCTACAAACTCAGTGGAATCAGATTTCGGCTCACTACCTGACCCGGAACAACTCGATAAAAAGCCCTCCTCGTATTGCCAGACGAAGGAGGGTGCGATGGATGCATCGAGAATGCTTGAAGATGGGCCCACAGTCGCTTCATCCTCGATCATGGAAACTGAGAAGTTATCTCCCAAGCACTCCGGTATGATCTGAGGATCTGAGAGGAGACAAGCGAGTGTTACCCCCATCTCAATTTCTGTGCTCTCGGAATCCTCCTCCTTACACTGCTCAGCCTCAGCTGGTGGGTCTGTCTGCTCTTCGGCAACTTCATCCCCGGATAATTGCAAGTCAAAGAAAATCTCAAATCCCGGCAAGCGCCGCCTCTCTGTATTTAGCCATGGCTCCGGAAAGCCGCAGAACAGGAAGTCTTCCCCCTCCCGAACAAAGCATCCGTTCAGGGTCTCCTAGATAGGTCTGTCCATCAACTTGTAATGCTTCCTGGCTTGTTTTGCCCTGTCTCTTCCGGCCATCTCTCTTCCTTTCCTCGCCCAATCCTCTTTGATAGGCAGATAACCTAGTCCAAAGGTATATGGGTTGTGCGGCACTTCGGCTGATGCTGCAACGCCCTTCCGGCCACTTCGCCCTAATCCCATTCCGGGCATGTGCTGAAGCTTGTTCGTAAGGTAGATAGACTGTGCACTAATGTATAGCCCCTCATCAACAGCTAGCATATCCTGTACAACCCGGGCCTCAGCTAGGGTGAATCCTGACAAAAATACATCTTCCGCGCCATGCTCAATCTCCAGAACTGGTGTAGAAACCTCTGGAGGCGGATGTATTGAAGAATTCCTAAAAACAATTGCCCCCCCCTTCCCGTGGGGGTACTTCAGCATTTGGTGTAAGGTGAAAAGACGGCTTTCACTTAGTGCAGCCATGGCCGCCCAAGAAGTAGATTGAAGATTGCGGGAACATCCAAGACATGAAACTCAATGTCCTGTTGCCCCGGACCAACCTGAGTCTTAATCCGTCCGGTCCCCATCACCTTTCAGCTGGTATTATCATAGGCCCGTATTACCTGGGCAGTAGGCACGAAATCCGTGGGCTTCAACCCGATAGCATACGCCGTTCTCGACGGACATACATTGATTGCAGACCCCGTGTCGACCAAAACCACCAGTATCCACTTCTCTCTACACTCCACAGAGATGTAAAGTGGTTTGTTATGATCTAAGCCCTCGGGCGGTAGTTCTTTGTCGATAAAGGTTAAGGTCGGGGAAGCTCCTCCCAGGAAAACCAGCCCTACCAACTGTTCAGGTGTGGTATCAGTTAAAAGTTTCGCCTTGTCCATGGCAGAAAGGACAGCTTGTCTGTGAACCCTCAAGGCCATAAACAGTCCCCAAATGGAGATGTCTGCTTGGATTTTCTTAAGTTGCTTCAGTACAGTCTCCTCCTCCAGCAGTTTTTCCTTCTGCGTCTCCGCTTCTTTGTCCTTCTCGAATGCCTCCGAATGGTCCAAGTGTGGAAGCTTGAAATACCGCCCACTCCTAGTCATATGATCAACCTCCTCAACGTACCAGGTGTCATCTGGTTGGTTCTGCCCCCAATCTTCGTCAGTGTGGGCAAGATGTAAGTCGTCGTCTTCCCACCACATCCCGTCGGCAACCGACAGACAGCTGTCCGTTTCTGTTGCAACTATTTCTGTGCTCACAGCATATTCTGTCCCCACAGGGGCCTTGGCCTTCTTAGCCCTCTCAAGATCCTCGATCTTTTCCTGCTCAAGCTGCTTCAATGCAACCTCCCGTTCAGTGTCTACTGTACTCAAACTGCTCTAATCCCGAGCAAAATTCTTTGCACTGGTTCTCTCCAGCGATGCTCCCTGTTCCTCGATCATTCCGGCCACTGCTGATGTTCTCATTCCTGACGATCCCTGTTCTGGCTGAGATTCTTTAACAACATCTAGCTGGTCACTGAGCCACCCCATATTCCATGCCGATCCATCCAAGTCGAACCAGTTGATGTTCACATCCCCTGAGTCCTGTTCTTCAAAGAACTGCAAATTTGCAATGTCCTCCAGCTCTGCTAAGTCATCTAGCCCTTGACTCGGTCCATCTTCCCGAACCACACTAATCTCTGCCCCAACCGGCAACTCTACCCTCAACTTAGCCTGGTCTATTGATGTGATGTAACCACTCAGGTTATACGTAAAGCTCGTAGACCCCTCAGGCTTTGAATCAACATTCACATCTACCTCTAAAGGCATCCCGGTTCTGTCTTCAACAGTCACCACCACCGGTTCTGGTTGGGTTTGGAAGATGTTCAACATGCACAAGTCCGTGCTGTCTAGGATGAACACCTCAGGCTTGGGTAGGTGGGAGGATATGATATATATGCTTGGGTCATATGGAATGGCCATGGTTTGGATTAGGTTGATGTGTTTGGGTGGTGGAGCTTGGTTATGTGGTAGGAGTGGGTTGGTGGTGACATTCGGCTTCTCTAGAGGCACAATCACCTTGTTGTCAATAAGATCCTGGATCTCATGACGCAGTCTGTAGCACTGGTCGCTGTCGTGACCATGCTGTTGGTGAAAGGCATAGTTTTTGGTCGGGTTATAGGAAGCAGGAAGTTTGTCTGGTAATGACCGCGGCTTTAGGGACTTCAAATGCCCTTTTCTAATGAGAACCCCCAAGGCTTTGGAAAGGGGCATGTACAATGAAGTAAAGGTCCTTTGGCCTCGAGGTGGATATCCGGCTGTTTGTGAGCTGGTACCGTACGCACCGGTGAATGGGGTGGCTGTTTTTGGTGTGGTGGTGGTGACCATGCCCACATCGGAAGTTTTGGCAGCTGCAGCATTACTCATGCCTGCATTCGAACTACGGATAAATGCCCTCTTGGGCTGCTCTCTCTCGTGGTCAATTAGACCCTGGTTCATGGCGTCCTCAATCTGTACCCTAATCTCGTGTAAATCCGCAAAGGTGGGGAGGGGTAAGATGATCATTTTTTGCATCAGTTTGGGTTGGAGGTTGCGCACAACCATCCGTATCTGATCCTTCTCGACCGGCTTGGTGGTCATCATAGAAGCTTTGGCCCTTCAACGGGTTACAAAGTCAGAGAAGCCCTTTTCGGCTCCTGTCTAGTTGTCTCGAGATCACGAGTTGTGATCTTGATCTGCATGTTGTAGGAATATTGAGCTATAAAGGACTCAGTCATCTCCTCCCAGCTTCTCTTGATAGAATCTTCCAACTTCGCATATCAGATGGCCGCGACACCCGACAAGGTCCGGCCGAAGAGGGAAAGCTTTTGCAATCTGGAGAGGCCCATTGGCCTTAGGATATCTGAGAACAACCACATATGTACCTTGAGATCCCTAGAACCATCAAAACAGTCTATATGCGGCATCTTGAACCGGTCCGGCAAAGTCACCGCCGAATCGGTGTATCCATCCTCTATGTCTGGAATGGAATTAACGCCTTGAGCTTTCTTGAGCAACTTTTCTAACTTGCTCCCTTTCAGTGTTGTTGGATCCACCTCAAATTCAAACGGTGTATCCACTGGATTAGCCGGTGCTTTGGACAGTTGAGGTAGGATTGGGGGTGGAACTGGCCCCGTTGGGACGTCCGTATTCTCATGGACGTTTGCAGTTTCCCCGAGTGTTGGAACTCTAGGTGGAGGTGGGTGCGAAGCAGATGCTCCAGCTTGTTATGGTTGTTGCTGTTGCTGAAGCCTAGCAATCAGCTCTGTCTGTTAAGCCACAACCTCTGCCTGACGCGCGGCAAACTCTGCCTGGCGGACAGCATCCCGCTGCATGGCTTGCATAGTCTCTTGGAGCTGATGCATCATGTCTTCCATGCTGGCCATAAGGTGCTGATCTGACTGAACAACAGGTATATCTCTCTCTGCAGTAGAAACGGAAACCTCAGCCTGACCACACACTGGTGGGGTGGATAAAGACCGTTGATCTGGTAATCGCTGTACTGATGAACTATGCCTAACTGACCTCCGTCTAGTAACCGGGGTAATGAAAAGAACACTGCTTGTCCGTCAACCAGATCCTCGGATCGATGAAGCCTTCGACCTCTGATCCCGAGTGCTTGGGGAATATCTGCCTAGTCAGAAGCAATGATGCTAAACTACCTTGCAAAAAGATAAATAAAGCATAATAAGGAAATAATAAGCAAAAAAACGGACAGCACTTGGCTTAAATTAAGACAACACACAGTCGACATTGTAAGCTGAACACACTGTTCTCAATACTGATCACTGTTCCCAAATCACTACCCCAAATCTGATAACCCCAAATACTGATGTCCACAGACTAATACCCGAACTTGCAACTGATACATACAACCTGTAAAAACACACTCTGACAGCACATAGCAAGCAAGTAAGAGCCAAAACACTCATATGGAGGGGTAGGGTTTCCTTGTCCTAGTTTCGTCAGGAACTAGGGTTTCACTACGCACGCAGTAATTTCAAACAACCTACAATCGAGTAAGCAACCTGTCCTAGTTTGGAATGGTCACTATAGTTTCCAATATGCACTAGGTCAAATGGTCAAAAAGGGTGCCTCGATAAAAACTGAGGTTTGTGTTCCCATCGTGGTAGAGCCCGTAATCGGTCAGCTTTATGGCACGCTTTTCCAAGCAAGCCTCCGGCAAACCGTTCAGGAATAGCAGATGGCAAACACTGTGACTTAGGCACACCAATGCAAATCCAATGCAAAGAAACACATAAGTGTAAATAAAACAACATATCATGATGTTCGAGTCAAGTTCTCTAAATCCCCAGCAGAGTCGCCAGAAACTGTAGACCGCCCGAACTCACTCCGCGCGCCCCCCTTTCGGAGAGGGCGCGAATTGTAGTTCTAGCTACTACAGTTCGGACAATTGTCACGGTTCTGTATCTAGTCTCATAAAGTGCAATGTAAGACTGATAAATCACCAAAGAGTCCAAATCCGGAAAATCGTTTTAGAAAATCAATTTTAATCAAGAAGTGCCAAACATGGACTACTTTGCGAGATTACAGAGTCGCCACCTAAATATTTTATTTTGGAAAATTTAGGACATCCTGACTCGGGCCTAAGGTCACGTGTCTATCGTCACCAAAGTTTCCTCAGCTTGGGAACTTGGGTACAAGGGGGGAAGGTAATGAAATGAGCGCCCCCAATCGCCCGATCGAAGATCAGCCTCTACTAACATGATATGTTGTTTTGAAAACACATGTGTTCTTATTCCGGTTATTTAGCTAACTTGCTATGTGATGTGCATAGCATACAAGTATAGACTAAATCACTCAAGTTGGAACAAAACATCTCATGTTTGTTTTTTGAAAATGGTTTGAAGATACTACTCGCAAGTAGGCTAAAACGCGAATTTGTCATCCTCAAGTGGGCTTAAAACATGATGATTTGCCACTCCAAGTGGGCTTAAAACTCACATTCTGATGAATTGTTTCAATTCAAGCAATGAAGCCTTCATCCACAGACATTCATGCAGTTAAACACATCAGCACATAGCCTCATGGTAAGCATGCTATCATGGAAACACTTACACACATGCAAGGATGCTAAAACATAAACACTCATAGTGTACTCCGAGCCAAAATAGAAGCTAGTTAGAAATCATGCATGATCCTAGTTATGTTAAGATGCCTAATGCAACACATGCAAAAATACAACTAAAATAGACTCAGTTATCTAGAATGGCATATGAATGCAACACTTGATAACATGCTTTGAAACACGTATTCAAGTAAGTATTGAAATTCAAAGCAGTTTGAATGATGCGCTGAGCCCGGTGCATGCAATACGAATGAATGATGCACGCATGCAAAGCATAAGGTATGCTAATTAAAATATGCCCTAATCTAACCACTGAAAGCGGGTAAATAAAAGGGAGAAAGATGTGGGGTTAGAAGACATTCACACACACACGCACACTTATTACAGCATTTGCCCTCTCGACAGAGGGTCCGAATGAAAACTAAGCTAGCTATGCTAAGCTACTTATCTACAAACCAATTAATTAACTAACTTAGCTAATTAAATATTACAATACAAATGAATTTGAACATCTAGCTAATCTAAGCTAATTAAATACAAACCAAATTAATTAATTAAACACTTAACTAATTAATTACAAAATAATTAAGCTAATGACCTAGTTTAGCTATGCAATTTAAACAAATGGCCTCAGGAAGCGAGGGGGAATGCATGCTCAGTCGGCTTCGCTCGGAAATCCACTTCCGTGTCTCAAGATGCCTCTGTTTGCACACTTTTGTACTTCTGAAAATTATGCCAACTTCCAGAATGCTTCTAACCCACCTTAGGAACATGCTGAGGGATGGCCATCGGCCAAAGTTGATGGCCATCGGCCATTTCTAATAGCCGATCGGCAGCCTTGGTGGCCGGTCGGTAGATTTGATGGCCGATCAGCCACTGCTTCCTGCAATTTCTCCTCTTGCTGCAACAGAGCACAAACCGAAGCATGACAGTGTATTTGCAAAGAAATGTGTGTGCAACTACACTCCTTATCATGTCTCAAGCTCAAAGAAGTGTAGTGCTCGGCTCTCGAGCCACCAATCATGTATCTCAATGCAAGATGACCAAAGAGTCAGGCTTACACAATGTTGATGAATGCACAAGTAACACACAAGACTTGAGAGGCCTCCATCCTATCATGCACAATCAAGGGTGTCGGTGACCTAAGGAATGAGGCGCGTTTCATTACTTTGAGTATGAAACGTCCCTCGTTCCTCATGTTTGGATCAACATCTGATCCAAACACAATGCAATGCAACACACATGCAAACAACATGTTATGCAAACCACATGCTAATCTTGACATGTCAAGGTGGTATGCATAAGACTCTTAACATGCAAACAATGCATGCATGGCATGTTTAGGAGTTAAGGCATCAAGGCAAGTGAAGTGTATCACACATGAAGCATGTACTACAATGCTCAAATGGTCAAACCAGCCCCGGACAGAGGTCATGCATGCCAAAACAGTGGCCAAAACTCAACAAAACTTAGGCACGAAAAGCAAGGAATGCATACTCAACTCATGGCTCGCAAGCAAGGCATAAAGGCACAACTCTTAAATGCAATTAAAGAGTGACATACACGAGAATATGGCAATGCTATATGCTCTGAAATCAAGTGTTTAATGATGCCAAATCACACAAATAACACAAACAAGGCATGTTAGGGGGTCTAGAGCATAAGGCTAGTTAAGAGCATCATACAAGAGGCATGCTTTACATAGCACAACTAACCAAACCAGCTCTGGATGGAGCTTAAACATGCCAAGTTAAGGGCCAAGAACATGCTGAAATGGAACCCAAGAGCTTAGACAAGCATGCATGCAAATTGGCTCAAGATTAAGGCATAAAGCATAACCCTCCAAAGCATTGAAAGAGTGATATACACGAGGGTATGACATTGAAACATGCTCTGAAATCATATATCAAATGATGCTATATCATGTAAATAGCCCAAGCAATGCATGCTAGTCGACCCAAAACACAAAGCTAGTAGAAGGGCTTTACACTATGGCTATACAAAGCAAAGCATACATGATCAAGACCACCCAAATCAGACCTAAAGCATGTGAAATCATGGCAAAAAGCATGCTGGAGTGTAGTCAAAATAGGCTAGAATGATGGTCCAAAGCATAGAGCATGTTAGGCTAGCAAGTAGAATTACACTAGAAGTGTATGAAGCATTCAAGAGACAACCAAACCAGCCAAAAATAGAGTTATATCAGGTCCAAAAACTCACAAAAACATGCTCAAACTAAGTCGTAAGATGATAGAAATACATGCTCACTCGGTAGGCCCTCTATGCATACAAACAAGATATAAAGAGAGGGGACCACCCCCTCTCATTTTGAGCCTCAAAACCAACTTTCTTTTCAGTGGTAGAAAGGTCAAACAAAGGTCACACCAAGAATGGTGGCTCAAGAGGCTTTACAAGCCATAGAGCAAAAGAGGGAAAACATCCCCTAACCAAACAAGACTCACACCCACATTTCAAAGCCTTAAAAATAGAGTTTAAAAGAGGCTAAAACCTGCCTTAAAGTAGCATGCAAAGGTGGTTAAGCTATTAATCAAAAGAAAGCTTAAAAGGGGTATATGCTTACCCTTGAAGACCCTTGAAGAACAACAGCAAGCTAGCAACCTCTGATGCAAAACCAAGCCAAAATCACTCAAATGCAACCTCCAAGAACCTCAACTCAAGAGTGAAGGTGTTTGAGTAGGTGTTTGTGTGCAAAAGTGTGAACAAAAGACACTTTTGGTTCAAATATAGTGCAAATATAGAGAGAGAGAGGGAAAAATATAGAGAGAGAAAGGGGTATGCTAACCGTAATCCAAATTTTTTGAACCTCTGAAAGGGGAGAGGAGCCTCCCCTCCTATAGAAATCCAAGTCTCAAGCTTGTTGGACAAGCTAGAGGCTTGGTGCAATCCCTCCATGTATGGAAAATGGATTCTGTGCTCACTAGCTGGCACAGCTAGCAATAAAATATCTACAAAAGCAAGAAAAAGGGTCTTGGCCAAAAAACATGGCCGACCGGCCATTAAAGGTGCCAACCGGCCATCAGTGATGCCGATCGGCCACCACTAATGGCTAATGGAAAGTGGGCACAGCCGATGGGCATGGGGCCTGGTTGGTAGGTTGTAAGGATGGCCAACAGACCACCCTCTTCCCTCAGAAACAAAGCCACAAGCTCTTGGTCCACAACCAAGCACAAAACAGACAAGTTGAGAGGCTCCAAGGCAAGGCGCACAGCCGAGACCTTCAGGAATTCAAAACGAACACGAGCATGGATGATCATCCAATGTTCAAACGATGACGTCCAAGTCTTGAGGACGGTCAAAAATGGGGTGTCTACACCCATCATCACCTCTCTCCACTTCAATGGCCAAGCCTTTCTCCACCCACAACCTCGCATTCAACGGCTGATCGATGATCAATGGCAAAACAATCATACAATGGCCAAATTGCAATGTTTCGATCACTGAACCCCATCTTGCGTGAAACAACGAGCCTTCGATCGATGGGTGACCCAAAATCTCGATCTGCGGTGCCCATCCGATGCAGACTTTGCCTCTACCAGAGATCCTGCAATTGAATTCCTGCGGGAGAGCGTCGAGATCGTCTAAAGCCCAACTGGGTTTTCTTAGAGCCCACAAAAATGGCAATTCCGATGACTCTAGCCCGGAAGCTATCTCGTAAGTCTGGTCTCTGGTGAGTTTACACTCGCTTCCAAACCCAACGAACACCACTGACTTGGGTTTCTGTTCATTGAGACATTCAAAGATCTTACTCAACACGCCGTCGTCAGCGGTGACGATTCGTGTTTTATTGGGTTTTTCGGGAAGAAGTAACCCCGTCAGAATCACAGGTTTACCAATAATTTTCACATACAAATCAATGAACTCACCTTCGAGCTCTCTGCAACTACGAATCACCACGGCTCGACACGCTTGAAATGATTTAGTGAGTCGTACAACATCTATAATGACGGAGGCATTTCCTTCGTAGATCCTAGCAAAAGTACCAATTGCTTCGTAGTGACGATATGATACCGATGACCGGAAACTAACCAAACACGGCGGTAACGTCATGTCCTCCGACGATGACCTCACTCTTTTCTGGTCATCACCGACTAAATATTCCAATGAGCCGAAGAACACCTTAGAGGCGGCGGTGAAGAGAGAGAAGATCATGGCGGGGACATAGCATTCCTGAGCTACATCAACCATCCAGTGATAGACAAAGTCGGTGAGGATCCAATCCGGTGACTATTCCGCTACGAATTGCTTGAAGGGTTGTTTAAGGCGATCCAACGTAGTCTTCAAGTGCTGGATTTTGTCGGCAGTAACATCAACTGTGGCCTCTGCACCTTCCAGTAAGAGGTTCGAGCCCAGCGCTGGCAAAGGAATCAAAACAAAGGTGACTAGTTGTTATGAAAATAGAGAAAGAAGAGAAAAGAGAAACTTTATATTGAATTGAATGAATAATACAATAGGAGAAGCCTGTATATATAGGCAGAAAAGAAACCTAGATAGGTATAGAAAAGATAGTGATAAGTATAGAATGAGATAGCGATAGAGAGAGATACAATACAAATAAATAAGATACATCTATAATAATATACAAATAACACCCCCCCCCCCCTCAAGCTCAAGGTGGTAAGTCAGATATCAATTTGAGCTTGGAGAGGAGATCAGAGAAGCGGCCTGGAAGATGAGCTTTGGTGAAGAGGTCAGCGGTCTGATCAGCAGAGGTAACAAAGAGAAGACCAACATGGCCACTAGTAACATGCTGTTGTATGAAGTGGCAATCGATCTCAATATGCGTGGTGCGATCATAGAAGACATCGTTATGGGCAATCTGAATAGCACTTTGATTGTCACAATAAAGATTAGTGGCAGCTGAATGAGAAACACCCATGTCAGAAAGAAGCCAACGAAGCCACACAAGCTCCTGAGTAGTGTCTGCAAGAGCACGATACTCAGCCTCGGTACTAGAACGAGCAACAAGGGTTTGCTTCTTGCTACGCCAGGAAATGAGAGAGTTGTCCAAAAAGAAGCAGAACCCAGTAGTGGAACGACGATCGGTAGGATCCCCTGCCCAATCGGCATCGGAAAAGGCTTGCAGTTGTAGAAAAGAGAGAGGGGAATAGTGAAGACCATGAAACAAAGTTCCTTTGAGATGGCACAAAATGCGAACCAGAGCAGAATAGTGTGGAGAGCGAGGAGCAGTCATAAATTGACTGACAATATGAACAGCATAAGCAATATCTGGGCGAGTAACTGTGAGATAGACAAGACTACCAACTAGCTGACGATATAAAGTTACATCTGACAATAGGGGGTCGTCAAGAGGTGTAAAACAATTTTGAGGATCAACTGGAGTAGTGACAGTCTTGCAATCGGTAAGGCGAGCATGAGCCAAAAGATCAGAAGTATACTTGGCTTGGGTAAGAAAATAACCAGAGGAATCCTGAGAAATTTCCAAGCCAAGGAAGTAGCTAAGTGCACCCAAATCTTTCATCTTAAACTAGTGATGGAGAAACTGTTTGAGACTAGAAATACCCACTGTGTCATCTCCAGTGATAATCATATCATCCACATAGAGGGAAAAGAGAATAGTACCACGCTCCGTCTTACAGATAAACAAGATAGAATCATAGGCACTGGAAGAAAAACCAAAGTCACGAATGGTAGTGCTGAACTTGGCAAACCAGGCACGTGGAGCTTGTTTCAAACCATATAAAGCACGGCGGAGTTTGCAAACCTTGTTTGAAGGAACAGAAGAACCAGGAGGGGGTTGCATATAAAGTTCCTCAGTGAGATCACCATTGAGAAATACATTCTTAACATCCATCTGAGAAAGGTGCCAGTGGCGAGCAGCAGCAATGGCAAGTAAGCTGCGAACTGAAGTAAGACGAGCAATAGGAGCAAATGTTTCCTCATAGTCAATCCCATATTCTTGACTAAATCCCCGGGTGACAAGGCGCGCTTTATAACGCTCAATGGAACCATCAGAATGAGTTTTGATCTTGTAAACCCATTTGCAACTAACAGTACGCTTGCCAAGAGGAAGATCAACCACATCCCAGGTATGAGTTTGATCGAAAGGTTGCAGTTCATCAGTCATAGCTTGTTGCCAAAGAGGGTTAGAAGAAGTTTCTTGATAAGAAGTAGGTTCATGAGAGCAAAAGGCAGTGGAACCAACAATATAATCACGGAGAAGAACAGAAGGTTGCCTTACCCGTGTAGAATGACGCTCAGGTGGTGGAGGAACCTCAATGGAAATAGGTTTCGGAAGAACCTCCACCGGAGCTGGAGAAGGCGTAGGGCCATCAGCTGACACAGGATCCTCAAGATGGACGATAGGCGTAGGCGGCTGTGGAAGCATGGGGCCAAAATCTACATCAAAGTCATCAGAAAAACAGATCTATAGAAATATCAGTGAAGACTGGTGAGTGAGTGGACTGTGGTAGGTGAAACTTGGAAAGAGTGGAGAACATTCTGTGTTCCCAGAAGACCACATGACGAGAAATACGAAGACGTTTGGAGATAGGATCCCAACAACGATACCCTTTATGTTTTATACCATACCCCAGAAAACAACAAAGACGAGAACGAGGTTCTAGTTTAGTGTGTTCATGAGGCAGAAGTAGAACAAAACAAGCAGAACCAAAAACTTTAAGAGTGGCATAATCAGGAGGAGAACCATACAAGTGCTCGTAAAGAGTTGTGTTAGCTATTACAGGGGTAGGGACTCAATTGATGGTGTGGATGGCAGTGAGGGCAGCTTCCCTCCAAAATTTTTCAGGACAAGAAGAAGAAAGGAGAAGAACCCGAGTAGTGTCTAGAATATGACGGTGCTTTCTTTCGGCTCGTCCATTTTGTTGGGAAGTGCCTGCACAAGATCGATGAGAAAGAGTACCATAAGCCCGAAGAAAAGAAAGAAAATCAGAATCCAAGTACTCCTAAGCATTATCAGAATGAAACAGTTTAATAGTACGAGAAAACTGAGTGCGGACCATAGCAAAGAAATCATAGTAAATTTGTTTAAGTTCAGAACGATTTTTTAGAAGAAAAAGCCAAGTATAGCGAGAAAAATCATCAACAAAAATCACAAAATATCTAGACCGCCCCCCCCCCAATGGTTGGTGTGGGGGAAGGTCCCCAAATATCTGAATGCACAAGATCAAAAGAAGCAGTAGAAATAGAATTACTTTTGTTAAAAGGTAATGCAGGTTGTTTAGTAATTTGACAAGATAAACAATCGACATCGTCAAGACGGACACGACCTAACTGACCACTAGAAACTAAATTTTTCAAACGACTAAAAGAGACATGTTCTAAGCGACAATGCCAAAGATGAAAACAAGACATAGTAGATGCAGCAACAATAGTAGATGATTTGTGCGGACTGCGAAGATGGATAAGCTCGAATAGACGTCCATGCTTACGACCTATCCCAAGGATCTATCTCGTCTGAGGGTCCTGCACCAAACAACCATTAGCAGAAAAGGTAATAGTTAGACCAAGTTCACATAACTGACATACAGAGATAAGGTTCATTTTAAGAGAATGAATATGGTAAGCATCAGAAAGAGACACAGTGGAAGTAGAGATTTGGCCAATATGACTAACAAGCATATGAGAACCATCAGCAGTGTGTATAGTAGGAGCAGAAGAGGATGATGACAAAGAAGAAAATAGAGTGGAGTCAGAAGTCATGTGATTACAGCATGCGGAATCAAAATACCATGAAGAGTTACCTGAGGTTACTGAAAGAGCAGTAGAATGAGGAGTACCCGATTTATTGAGCACCTGGTGGATAATGGACTCAACATCATCCATAGAGAAGGAAGGAGCAGAAGAACCCTCAGAGGCAACAGCGGCAGAGCGAGAACCGTGGTTAGATTTGGACTGTGACCCAGAACGAGAAGCCCCTTTCTTAGATGAAGTAGTGAAGGGAGCTCGAGGACAATTGCTTTGGAGATGGCCTAGAGCAGTCTTGTGACAAGACAAGCATTCGCGAACCTGGCAGTGAACAAGAGAATGATTGGCTGGCAGGCCTCGGTTGCGACAATAACTGCATATGAGTGGCTGTGAAGATGAGGAACTCTGAGAAGATGGCGTAGCAAGAACAGAATCCGTGTCGTGAGATCTGAGACTCCCAAAACGAGTCTCCTTTGATAGGAGCTCAGTAATGGCTTGCTCTAAAGTGGGCAAGGGCAAACAATGAAGCAAAGAAGCACGCACGGGCTCAAAAGTGCTATGAAGAGTCATAAGAAACTGTAATAGTCGCTAATGATTTCGATAAGTAATAAATAGTTGTGCATCATCAGAATGAGCCTATGGAGATTCAGAAAGAGCGAGCTAGTCCCAAACGGATGACATTTGGGATAGAAAGTCATTGAGAGACTGACCGGGTGACTGGCGCATGTGATGAAGAGTCTGCAACAGTTGATATTGATGAGCATGGTTAGTGGTCTGATAATGTTCCTTCAAAAAATCCCAAATTGTTTTGGCAGGAGAGGCAAGGGAGTCATCGTCTTGAAAGCGATGGAAGGAACTGAGATAGTCTGGAACCATGTGATAATTTGATAATTCTTACTTTCCCATTCATCAAGACGGTCATCGAATGCAAAGTCCGTATCATCCTCCTTCTGGTTGAGTTTGGAAAGAGTACCAGTAATAATCCGCCAAAGGCGTTTCCCTTTAATGAAGCTAAAGAGAGCTTAGGCCCAACTAACATAATTAGATCCATCAAGTATAACAGAAACAGATGGGATGTTGTCAGTACGATCCATAATTGCCAAAACGGAGGTCACCAACAGATTCAGAAACCCAAAAAACCTTAGGAACAAGTAGGGTTGACATCAACTCTGTGCTGTGATGATGTCAGCAGCCAGCCAGGGGTTGAGAGAGGCTGACATCAGCGGCTGAATAGGGTTGACGTCAGCGGCTAAACCAAACAAGGCACGCGGCTGAGAGAAGCTGGGGGGAAATCAGCTGAGGCGGAAGCCAAGGATAGAACGGCTAAGGCGGAAGTCGATGGGCGAGTCGAGGCTGATGCGGAAGCCGAAGGGCAAAAACTGAGGGAAGCCGGCTGAGATGACGCGTGTGGGAGCGTGTCGAGAGTGGAACCGAAGGAAGCCGATGTGCAGGTCTTTGGGTGGCGCGTGATGGCGCGTGTGAAGTCCGATGGTGGTGATTCTGGTGGCGTTTGCTTCATCTTGAAGAGACGAAGAGTTTGGTATAGTCCAAATGTTGAAACAGAGATGAACTAGACACGCAGAAGCCAACGGAAACCAATCGGGGACAGAACCAAAAAAAAAAAAAAATGAGGCTAGGAGAGAACCTAAGCTCTGATACCATGTTATGAAAATAGAGAAAGAAGAGAAAAGAGAAACTCTATATTGAATTGAATGAATAATACAATAGGAGAAGCATGTATATATAGGCAGAAAGGAAACCTAGATAGGTACAGAAAAGATAGAGATAAGTATAGAAGGAAATAGAGATAGAGAGAGATACAATACAAATAAATAAGATACATCTATAATAATATACAGCTAACACTAGTTATGATAATTCATGAGGGAGTTGAGGGAGCCTCTAGATGTTTCTTGGCGTTGAAACGTAGGAGACAGGAATACCGGCTTTGGCTAAGACTAAGGAGAGCTCGTAAAATGGCATCATGTGGCCGAATACGAGAAACAGAACAAGGACGACGTGGAATCAGGATCCTCTCTTTGAGGTTCTTACTTGACTTCCTATTTGTTGGGTCATTGGGTCTAGTTTTAGCCCCAATTTCAATAATCCGAACCGTTCACATTTTAAGATTTATTGAGTATATCATACCTGTAAAAAATCAAGTTGATCGGATATCAGAAAGCATATGTTCGGAAAACTGTTTATTAAATTTTTTTAAAAAAATAATTTTTAATTCGATGATCCGAACACGTGCTTTTTGATATCCGATCAACTTGATTTTTTACAGGTATGATATGCTCAACAAATCTTAAAATATAAACGATTCGGATTATCAAAATTAGGCCAAAAAGTAAGTCCAATGACCTAGCAAATAAGAAATCAAGAAGGAACCTCAAAAGGAGGATCCTGATTCGGATGGCGTGAGTCTGTGTGTCTAATTTTTTCTGGCGAAGAGAGTTTTATTTATTGAAATAGTGAAAGTTGACTGGTGAAAGAAAAACGGCATACTAGTTACTAGTAAACTTTTGTGAGTCGAAGAGTTCTGGAGCATGACCACCATTTAGATATAGACAAAGCATCTGGGAATGATTCCTCGCCATTCCACTCAAGCATGGATCCAGGCAATGCGGTTGCAAAACAATAATAATAATAATAATTATAATAAATAAAATAAAATTTGTCCAGTAATGCTGGCGATATTAAATTTTTTATTAAATAAATGATGAAATATTTCATATGAATATAGAGTTCATATTTTTTATGGACTCTAGATATTTTGTCATTTATTTAGTAAAAACTTTAAGACCTATAATATTTTCCAAAAATATACTCCCTATTCCAAACTAATAGTCTTTTTTTAGGAAATTTAATCTTTTTTGGTAATACAATTATTACACTTTAAAATTATTGATTTTTCAAAATTATTTTTTGATGGTACATTTTTTAGAAAATATCAATTGCCATAATTATATTTTGTGTGTTATTAATGAATTTAAAATAATGGTAAAATAATAAATTCATATTATTTTAGTTATTGATTTTTAAAAATAGACTAATATTTTGTGATAATGAAAAATAAAATTTGGACGTAATATTTTAGGACGGAGGGAGTAAATATAAAAAATAAAAATAAAAATAAAAAATCTCCCTTGATTAATAATTTTAAAATGTCCTTTATCTTTGGTACTATTGGGATCGTGGGGGCCTACTACAGGTTCGGTTTTGATAATCCGAACTGTTCAATATGTAGAACTCATTGAGTACTATATGTTGTAAGAAATCACGTTGATCGAATATCGATAGCTATCTTATCGGATTAGATTTCTGTCAATCATTTATTTTTTTATCGTCTATTTTTTTTATACAAAACTGATTTGATTATGTAGTTATCAATATCCGATCGATGTAATATTTTTCAAATATATAGTACTCGGCGAGTTCTACACATTAAATTGTTCAAATGATTGAAATGAGAACCGTAGTAGACTCCCACGATCCCAACAGTACACTCCAGTCCGATCACAAACTGAAGGGAAGCCAGACCCTTATCTTAAAATAATTTTTATTTTGGTACTTTGCACATATAAATTATCAATGGGAGATTTATTAGAAAATCTTTTTTTAACTGTTTGTATCTTAATTAGTACATAAGATATTCTTGTATTCCAATAAGTCCTATTATTTGAACATTTGATCTATCAAATCTTAATTCTCATATTTAAAGTATTTTATAGACATTTTTACCCTTACAAATATTTTTTGCACAGTTAGCAATTTGGTAATGTAAACATTTATATTTTACAATGTGAATACTCACATTGATAGTGTGAACATTCACATTGACATGTTAACATTCACGCTGATGGTGTGAACATTCACATCGACGATGTGAACATTCAAATTATGGAACATTTATATTGTAAATATGAATATTATTAGCGATACTTTGGTAACTATGTCACTCATAAGACTTATTAGAATATAAGAAAATAACGTGAACTAAATAGAACATAAGTAGTTGAAAATAGATTTATAAAAAAGTGCCCCATTATCAATTAGTGTTTTTAAATTTAATTATATTTTTAATGTGATTATTAAACTTTTAATTCTTCAAACTTTTAAGTGTAAATCTCATATTTTTTATTTATGCCTTTCAACTTTTATAATTGAGTCAATGTAGTTTAATTTATAACTAAATATAAAAAAAAAAATTAATTATTCTTTTACGTTAGGCGCTTCCTAATTCACTAAATTTTAAAATTAGAAATATGAAAATAAAAAATCACAAACAACTTCATTTGAAATTTTTATCCATTTAGGATAAATTATTATTATTATTATTATTATTATTATTATTTGTTCCTATGTCTGAAAAAATGAGCATGATCGGTGCCACCCAATCGGGGTTGTCGGTCGGAGACACTCCGATGCTAAAGTTAGCCCTCTGATTGAAAGAATAAAGCTATGGAAATCAAGAGTATTGGTGTGTAGTGTAGAGAGAGAGAACCTGCCTTTCTTCTGGGATGGCCCCCCCTTTATATAGATGGGGGGTGTGGTATTTGTTTGGGCTGGACCCATTGTAGGTCTTGTTTAGGTTAACCCCCATAAACTGATATATATTTTTTTCTGGCTTCCACAATTGCCCCAAAACTTTCATTGTCTGCGGTAGAAGGAATGAAAGTTTTTTTCTTGCCAAGTTACGTTGTTCAAATAGCTGTTAGGTGTTTTGATAAAGAACACTTTGGATAAATGAATAAAATGTATGAATGAATAATTGCATGTGTGCTTGAATGTATGCATGAATGTATGTATAAATGTACGTATGTCTTGAATGTATGCATAAATGTATATAAGTCGATCATAGGATGAGGGGGGTGAGCTAAAACCCAGAAAGGAATACAAACAAATCATAACAATAGACCACGGTATTCTAACCCCCAGGTATGGGTGTAGGCCGCGGTATTCTGACCCCCGGGTATGGGTGTAGGCCGCGGTATTCTGACCCCCGTGCATGGGTGTAGGCCGCGGTATGCTAACCCCCGGGCATGGGTGTAGGCCTTTGCTAATGGCGCTCTGTGCCGAGTGCGAAGATTGCACTGTAGTCGGAGACTTTTACTTATTTTAAGTGGCAACCAAGTGCCAATGTGGCAAGGACTTTGAATAATGCATCCTGTACCGAATAAGGTGGACATGTTAACCACCAATAATATTGCTCCGCTTGTATAGAATTGCCAAGTAGATATTGGGCCAACTATTTAATTGCCGAGTTGCAAAGTTTGCATTTAGTCTAAGGTAGACTTGCCCCATTGCCCCATGTTACAGGAAAAATTCAGCTTTGGTAAAACTGATGGTGCGCAAAAATATGCGAACTGCCGACTGCCAAGTGTGTAATGTATTGCCCCAAAACTAGTGCTTACTTCGAGCTATGTGAAGAGGAGCGGGAGTTTGTAACTCAAGTAAATGTCGTCATAATGATTGGACCAAGTTGGCCGAGTATGCATATATAGCAGAGGTGCCGAGATGATGATCGGCTGATATGCCCCAATGGAAAAGTGAAAAAATGACTAAGATGTCCCAATGGGCAATAAATGGCCAAGGTAATGCAACAAATGATCGGGGAAGACGGATGATTATTTCCCCACCCCAAGGTCTTGCTGTTGAAATTGCATGCCGATCGGATAGGATTTGACCATTGATTTTGCATGTAATTGTTTTGCCGAATTATGTTGTTAGGCGAATAAAGTTGCCGAATACAATGGCCAATGTTGTTGCATAAAGTTCACAATGCATAAAGTTGACAAATAATGTTGTTTAGCTGAAAGGAGTTGATGCACGACCGAATAATGTTCATGTATAATGTTGAATTAATAATGGTGCCAAATAATCTTGCCGAGTAAAGGTGATGCACTGCCGAGTAACTAGTGTTAAAACATCGGTGTCTTTCATATGTAATGTGATTCTGCCGAAAAGTTGGTCAGCTACACTTGGGTCGGTGACTGTGCTGATCTTTTAGTTGGCGATTTTTCTTAGCTTCGCGGTGTGTCAGCATCACTTCGGAGTTGGATTTGCTAAGAACTTGGTTGGCAATGGTTGC